TTTTCTCCGGGTCCTCCGGTTTCCTCCCACTGCTAAAGACCCCAACGCACAAGCGAATTATTGAAATAAAATTAAACCATATGTTAGTCCCGAAATGACCTAGTTTGTGTCGAGTGGACGTTAAACCCCATTTCTCTCTCTCTCTCTCCCGTTTTCATTATTCCGGTTGGTGCAGCAAAGTAAGACGTCAAACCTTATATCATTCCTGTAGCTACAAACAGTATTGTTAGTTGCATGCTGATATATGATGTACAACGCTTCCAAGGGCGGAGTCTGGACCCTCCCCTGCAGAGCATATTCTTTACCTCCTACGCCATCGACATAACGTCAAAAAAACCAAAAAAAACAGATGTTCGAAGCATTGCCACCGTTTTGGTCTCACTCGACTCTAATCCTATACATACGTATGCATCTAATTGAGAAAAAATCTTGCCCAAGAGCCTCTGATTGTACAAGAATTCTCGGGTGATCTCCATCTTGGAACCCATCTGCTCAAATTCCATGACATCAGTTAAGACTGAAAATAACTCGTAATGTCCTTAATAATGTTATATATCCATTTATTTTTACTTTCTTTATCTTTCCCCGTGATTGTTCTTAGATATCGTAAGATAAGTCTTCTCGGGCAGTGTGGAAATGCATGTTTCTTTTTGCGGAAGCATCCATTGGAGATCAAAACACGGGTTGGCTTGTGGCTAACCATCAACAATAGCCTCATGCCCGTTATTATCCAATCGGTTAGGGTTATTTATTACTTACATGATGTTGGATTTGAACTGTCTTGTTGTTGACTTACCCGAAGTAGAAGGTGCTGTTGTGGGTTCTGGTGTAGCTGTAGGGTCAAAAGACAAACAACAGAAGGATGTTGGTTTGGTTTCCTGGGAAGAAAACAACCATAAAGCTACCATATACCTTGATCGTTTCAATTTATGTATTTATTCATTCATTTCTTGATATTCAAAGGAATAAATTATTGTTTAAACGTAACTAAACCCCTTGGTGAATTTCAAGAAAATGTTCTTAATTGGTTTGGGTCAAATTAAGGTATTGAATTGGGTTGATCTTTTGAATTATTTTGATTAGATTTTGTTTAGAAGAATTAAAAGGAAGTCACTTTGTAAGTTCTATTTCAATTTTGAGGATCCAAGAAACACACAATTCGATTTTTTTTTTTTTTTTTTTTTTTTTTTTAACGGAAGTTTTGCCCTGCGTATTACCCACTTAGCCACCGTGGCTCCCTGAGTCAACATAAAATACACTCCTCTAGAATAAGACGGGTTTTCGAGATGAAATTACCCAACGAAACGGACAGTATAACCTCTTACCATCTGTTTAAAAAACAATTAATTTGCTTATAAAATTTCATAATTTTCTATATTTAATTCATGTTTTAATTATATTCATTATTTTTTTTTTTTTTTTTTCGTGTCAATTTTTAACAAGGGGTCACAACAAGTCTAAACCAAGCACTGACATTACCACTTGCATTCTTGCATTTAACTTTTAGATACTTACGGTATGTAACTGTAAGTACAGTAAAGATCCACAAGTTGTTGCTGTTGTTACAGTAACAGGAATGTTGTTATTCCAATAACACAATTTTGTTGATTTATCAAAAAATACGGACTGGCACATTGTCTCTTTTGAACATTCTATAACACAATTTAAAAAACTACGACTGAACCAAGTACGGATCAAAATAGTATTATCCACAGCAGACCCAGTGACTTTACATAAATTTTTATTTAAAGATAAATTTGAAATACCATTACTAAATGTTTGGGGTACGAAAACAAAAAATATGAACACGTAATATTCTTTAACAAACATAATCCTTTTCTGGTAATAATTAAAAAGTTTGCGAGATCTCCAAGCGCTGAGTTTATTGCGTTATGAAAGAAACAACAGCCCGTCTGATATTAATAGTTCGACCAGTCCGATGTTTGTTGGGATTTGCCACGTCCAAATTGAAAGTCGATTATATATTATGTACTTCACCCAACAAGTGTCTCATTCTTAATCAATAATCAGATAAGGGAATCTATAATCTTATATGACCAGGAGGAAACAAATTTATCTGCAAACTGGTCAATGTTATAATGTTAAAGGAGCTAAATCACTAATATTTGAGACCTAGAAATCGACACAAATGGAAAGGAAATGAAATGAAATGGGGTTTAACGTCCTACTGTTCTGCTCCTAACCTGGGCTAATGAAGACGGGCATACGCCATACAGTGTGTTATGAGGGAAATTTTGCCCGGGCAGCGGCGCTACGGCCTACTCTTATATAGAATTCCAACTGCCAAGGGATCTTTTACGTGCACGCCAATGTGTACACGGGACCTCGGTTTTTCGTCCCATCCTAACGACTAGACAGCTGTCCTTGTCAGGCCCTCCATCCTGCATCACTAACAAGGGGGGTAACCACGCCGGAAACTCTGAATGAACTTTCTCGGCCAATGCAGGGATCGAACACCTGACCCCCAGGCTAGTGAGCCAGCGTCTTACTTCACCCAACAAGTGTCTCATTCTTAATCAATAATCAGATAAGGGAATCTATAATCTTATATGACCAGGAGGAAACAAATTTATCTGCAAACTGGTCAATGTTATAATGTTAAAGGAGCTAAATCACTAATATTTGAGACCTAGAAATCGACACAAATGGAAAGGAAATGAAATGAAATGGGGTTTAACGTCCTACTGTTCTGCTCCTAACCTGGGCTAATGAAGACGGGCATAAGATCAAAACAGAACAGTTTCAACTTTTCCCCAAAGTTAAACATCGGCTACATAAACAAGAGCTATCAGTGGATGGCAGTTTACTGCACGGAAAGTCATCTTTATTTATGTCAAAAATGGATTACATGAGGCAGTATTGACTAAAGCATGCGGGCAATTGTCCAATGAAACATGTAGAAAATTATCCAATGAAACATGTAGACAATTATCCAATGAAACATGTAGACAATAGTGAAACATGTCGACAATTATCCAATGAAACATGTCGACAATTATCCAATGATAACTTCAGTAGGGTTTGTTAGGGAGGCGGACAGATATGTCCCGAACTGCAATTTAGTTCACTGCTTTAAAAACAAAGTTGCATGCAATCCCACACAATTATATTTTGCCACGAAAGCACTGGCGCCACGGTAGCGAAGTGGGTAAGACGCTGACTCTCTAGCCTGGAGGTCGCTTGTTCGATCCTTGCATTCGTCTAGAAAGTTTATCGGGGTTTCCGACGTGGATTCCCCTTGTCAGTGGTGCAAGACGGAGGGCCTGATAAGGACAGCTGTCTAGTCGTTCGGATGTGACGAAAAGCCGAGGTCCCGTGTATACATTGGCGTGGCGTGACGTGCAGTTAGAATTCGATATAAGAGTAGGCAATAGTTCCGATGCCCGGGGAAAATTTCCCTCATAGCACATTGCATGGCGTACGCCCGTCTTCGTTAGCCCAGTAGGTGTAGAACAGTAGGACGTTAAACCCCATTTCATTTCAGGACTTATCTTATCTTGAGGTTAATCCTGGCAATCGTGGTGATCGTAGAAAAGTTTTGGACAGTTCAGGAATTTTCTACGATCAACACGATTAATTGCTAATCGTGATCACCGTATCAGATTGGATCATAACAAAGCTGCGTTCTATGTAAGTGTACTGTGGGGACTGTTACTAGGCTAGCTGGGTTTGTTTTCAAGAATTGTCAGACTATATAGTTTTGTCTGAGGATTTGCAGTTCTACAAGCCTTCGACAAAACAAACCACGTGTCCAAATTACAGCAATTTTAACTGACATAACTGAAAATTGAGTTCTAATAGCTGGCTGTTTGTCGAACGGAATCCTTTTTATGTAGCGGGGGGTTGGATGGTTAGCACGTTCGTGCTGTATCAAAAGCCTGTTATTGAGTCAACTGGCGTGGTTTCGAATCCCCGGTTGTACGTGACAAGGAGTAGGGTCGCCTGTCCAACCTCGTGGGTTTTCTGAGGGTCCTCCGGTTTCCTCCTACTGCTAAAGACCCCTACGCGCAAGCGAATTATTGAAATAAAATTAAACCATGTGTTGGTCCCGAAATGACCTAGTTTGTGTCGAGTGTACGTTAACCCCCATCTCTCTCTCTCTCTCTCTCTCTCTCTCTCTCTCTCTTTTATGTAGCAGTTTAATTTCAATGAAACAGTAAAACATTATCTTTATAAATAGTATTATGTCTAGTCGGTAATATATTGTAAGTTTTCAACTGTTATTTATCAGGGTTAATGAGATAAATTAATAGAATCGACATATTGTTATAGCAGTAACAATAGAAATCGCGAATAAAAGGAATAAAAAAAACTTTTGTATTAACGAACACAACAGCCATGTGTTGGTCCCGAAATGACCTAGTTTGTGTCGAGTGGACGTTGAACCCCATCTCTCTCTCTCTCTCTCTCTCTCTCTCTCTTTCTTTTATGTAGCAGTTTAATTTCAATGAAACAGTAAAACATTATCTTTATAAATAGTATTATGTCTAGTCGGTAATATAGTGTAAGTTTTCAACTGTTATTTATCAGAGTTAATGAGATAAATTAATAGAATCGACATATTGTTATAGCAGTAACAATAGAAATCGCGAATAAAAAGAATAAAAAAAACTTTTGTATTAACGAACACAACAGCCACTTTATTGTTTCGTTGTATGAAAATGGAAAATATAGAACGTTAGGTATTTATGATGAATTTTTGTTTGTTTTTTTGCTTTCTGTATTGTGCGAACTCTTGTGACCATAGTGCTGGGTTCTACGTATACACCGGATAACACTGCACTTGATAAAATGGCCTGACAAATATAAAAGGATTTTCTCTCGTTCAAAAGTCAGTTTTATGTCAATTTGCACGACTTCCATTGTTATGCCGTTCACTACTTCAAAGCTATAATAATAGATAATCTTGATTATATGTGATTGAAGGGTGGAGGAGCGACGTAATCATCACAGGTGCGTTGGTGTAGGTGTGTGTTAATATTATATCATTGGCCAATTTACAGATAGGCATGTTTCTCCCCGGTCATACAGGATTATAGATTCTCTCATCTCATTATCGGTTTGGGCGTGGAAAATCTGACTGGTCGAACTATTAATGTTAGACGGGCTGTTGCTTCCTTCATAAAGTCATAAACTCGGCGCTTAAAGACCTCGCAAAGTTTTAAACTTTTTAATTATTACTAGAAAAGGATTATGTTTATTCAAGAATATTGCGCGTTCATATTTTTTGTTTTTGTACCCCAAACATTTAGTAATGGTATTTCAAATTTATCTTTAAATAAAAATGTATGTAAAGTCACCGGGTCTGCTGTGGATAATACTATTTTGATTCGTACTTGGTTCAGTCGTAGTTTTTTAAATTGTGTTATAGAATGTGCAAAAGGGACAATGTGCCAGTCTGTATTTTTTGATAAATCAACAAAAATGTGTTATTGGAATAACAACATTCCTGTTACTATAACAACAACAACAACTTGTGGATCTTTACTGTACTTACAGTTACATACCGTAAGTATCTAAAAGTTAAATGCAAGAATGAAAGAGGTAATGTCAGTGCCGGGTTTAGATTGGGTGTGACCCCTTGTTAAAAATTAGAAATTTCAAAAGCAACTTACTTTCTTTTTTAAATTTGAAAATCTAAAATTGTATGAGATATCGCAGATGGTGGATCTTTACTGTATTTACAGTTACATGCTGTAAGTATCTGAAAAGTGGAATGTAAGAATGCAAGTGCTAGTGTGAGTGCTGGGTTTAGATTTGGTCTGACCCCTTGTTAAAAATAGCAAATTAAGAAATTTCACAACCAAATTATTATTCTTTTTTAAATTTGAAAATCTAATATTATATGTGACATCGCAGATGATAAGACATTATACTGTCTGTTTCGTTGGGTAAGACATTATACTGTCTGTTTCGTTGGGTAATTTCATTTCGAAAACCCTAATTAATCTAGAGGAGTTGTTTATTTTATGTTCACTAAAAACATTTATATAGAAGCAAATAAAGACATTTATCTAGAGGAGTTTGTTTATTTTATGTTCACTAAAAACATTTATATAGAAGCAAATAAAGACATTTTTCTCTCTTTTTTTTTAATGTTTACATGCTCTAAACCAATCTGGGGGGTTGGATGGCCGAATGGTTAGCACGTGCGTCAACTGGCGTGGTTTCGAATCCCCGGTTGTACGTGACAAGGAGTAGGGTCGCCTGTCCAGCCTCGTGGGTTTTCTCCGGGTCCTCCGGTTTCCTCCCACTGCTAAAGACCCCTACGCGCAAGCGAATTATTGAAATAAAATTAAACCATGTGTTAGTCCCGAAATGACCTAGTTTGTGTCGAGTGGACGTTAAACCCCATTTCTCTCTCCCTTTCTCTAAACCAATCTGAACAAGAGAACCACCCTACATGCAAGCATGATCAAAAATAAATTGCACGTCAGTATAGTTGAAGAAACTGCAGAAATATACTCAATTGTGTGTTTCTTGGATCTTCAAAATTGAAATAAAACTTACAAAGTGACTTCCTTTTAATTCTTCTAAATAAAATCTAATAAAATAATTTAAAAGATCAACCCAATTCAGTACCTTACTTTGACCCAAATCAAAGCGATTTCGCCGCTGCAATAAGTATTTAAGAACATTTTCTTGAAATTCACCAAGAGGTTTAAGTCCATATTATAAGGTAATATAATCCGAAGAAATAAGTACCCCACTAAAATATCATAAAATGATTGAAAAAATAAATACATAAATTAAAACGATCAAGGTATATGGTAGTTTTATGTTTGTTTTTTTCCCAGGAAACCAGACCAACATCCTTCTGTTGTTTGTCTTTTGACCCTACAGCTACACCAGAACCCACAACAGCACCTTCTACTTCGGGTAAGTCAACATTAAGACAGTTCAAATCCCAAATCATACATATAATAAATAACCCTAACCGATTGGATATTAACATCCATGAGGCTATCGGGGGTGGCTGGGCACAAACCGACCCGTTTTTGATCACCACTGGATGCTTCCGCAAAAAGAAACATGCATTGCCACATTCCCCGGGAAGACTATCTTACGATATCTAAGAACAATCAGGGGGAAAGACAAAGAAAGTAAAAATAAATGGATATATAATATTAAGGACATTACTAGTTATTTTCAGTCTTAACTGAAGTCGTAGAATTTGAGCAGATGGGTTCCAAGATGGAGATCACCCGAGAATTCTTATACAATCAGAGGCTCCGGGAAAAGATTTCTAGTCATTTAGATTCGTACGTATGTATAGGATTAGAGTCGAGTGAGACCAAAACGGCGGCAATGCTTCGAACGTCTGTTTTTTGGAGTTTTTTTTTGACGTTATGTCGATGATTTAGGAGGAAAATAATCAGGGAGGGTCCAGACATCATATACCGGCATGCAACTAACAACCCCCTAGCGAGCCAATGTCTTAGCCAACTAACTATGCTGTTGATAGGTACAGAAATTAAATAAAGTGTGACGTCTTACTTTGCTGCACCAATGGGGATCATGGAGACGGGAATACATTGCACGATACAGTGTGCTATCTAGTACATGAGTTTATCTCGGTTTTTCGTCCGACTCGAACGACTAGAGACATTTACTTAAGCTGCCCTGTTACATCTGTATTTATTCTTACTTATTAATTGCAGCCATTAATATTAATATCTGATTGGTAAAACTTGTCATTGAAAGCGGCGTGCATTGATTCAGACTAAATCATTAAGGATTTCTTTTGAATTTTCAGATCCCCGTAAAAGCTAATAGCTGAAATATAAAAGTTATTGTTCGTTTCCCATTCGTATGAATATTCGCCCTTTTCTACTGACCTCATTATTGGATACCCATAACCGTTGATAAATTCTAAGAATGTCTTAGGTCAAAGGCTGTTGTCGATTTCCTTTTTGCGAGGTGGAATCCCCAGTGGCTAAGTGAGTAAGACGCTGACTCGCTAGCCTGGGGGTCGCGTGTTTTATCCCTGCATTGGCCGGGAAAGTTCATCGGAATTTTCCGACTTGTTTTCCCCTTGCCAGTGGTACAGGAAGGAGGGCCTGACAAGAACAGCTGTCTAGTCGTTCGGATGATACAAAAACCTGGACTTCAGGCAAAAGATCCTTTTGCAGCTGGAATTAGATATAAGCGTAGGCCATAGTGCCGCAAAATCTCCCTCATAGCACACTGTATGACGTATGCCCGTCTTCATTAGGCCCGTCGGAGTAGATCAGTAGGATGTTAAACCCCATTTCATTTCATTTTTTGCGAGGTGTTGGTTTGTTTTGTGGAATGATATAGCTGACATTTTTTTCGTCTACAGATAAAAACAATTTTCAGATTAAATCGAGTAAGACAAAACATCTGATGTAAAAATGGCCTCCTTGATGACCCCCATCTTGAACCCAGAAATATCACTATGCCACGATCTTGACTATTGAGATGGCTGAGTGTAGTACTATCGGACTTCTTTCCTAGTTGTGTTTGTTTTCTTAGTGATCGTAATATTTAACTATGGAAGCCTATAACTACCTTTCATAATTTCTACTTTTCGCCTCTTCACAACGCGAAAGTCGAAAAGTAGAAGTTACGACAAAATGTGAGGCGACAATACGGTATACAAGCCAAAATCAACTCGAAAATAGGAAATTAAGAAATAACACACAGCGATAATAGCGCCCCTCGTTTTTTCTAATTTCTTATTTTCGACTTGCATTTTGGCTTGTATACCGTCTTGTCGACTTTCGACTTAGTCATATTTTTGTATTTATTGATGCCAGTAAGAAGGCGCCAACACGCATACCAAGCCAAAATGCAACTCGAAAAGTAGAAATTAGGAAATTAACACACCACGCTATTAGCGACTGTTCGACTTTTCGCCTCGGAAGTTGTTGTGGTCTCAGTTTTCCAGGTCGCATTTGAACACGTGCAATCAGGGCTCACACTGTATTTCATTCTTTTCCGTCAAAATGGATAATAATTTTTATATAAAAAAAATGTTCATTTTTTTCCGCCAACTGGGATATTTTATCTGCCAAAAATGTCTGATTAAAAAAAACACCTTAGGCTACAACAATTTAATTTATTTTATAGGCCTATTATAAAACAAATTTCCCGTACCGATATTCAATATACAACAACATACATGGGGATTGGGTGGTCTAGTGGTTTAACACGTGCGCGTGAAATCACAAGGTCTGACATTGATTCAAGTGGTGTGGTTTCGATTCCCCGCTTAAACATGACAAGGGAGTAGGGTCGCTTGTCCAACCTTGTGGGTTTTCTCCGGATATCCCAGCTTCTATCCACTGCTAAAGACCCCTACGTGCAAACGAATTATTGAAATGATTTAGTTTGCAACGAGTGGATGTTGAGACTACAACAACTTCCGAGGCGAAAAGTCGCTAATTTTTTTTTTTTTTTAAACAATATTTTTATTCATTAAATCTGAATTTGGATTGGGGAACTGGCTATGCCTATGTGTAACCCCTCTCTCTGATTTAGATACATGTACACATTAAAAATATTTACATACATACATACATAATTACATAAATATAAAGCATATATGATACATCATGGATAATATAGAGACTTAGATGATTATACAGAGTGCAGGGCTTGGAATGACGTAAGAGTTGTTTATGGAGATTTAAATCTTTTTGATAAGAAAATAAATTGTTGAACTTCTTGGAAAATAAGTGTGTTTATCTCTGGACTAAGTTTTGTTGACCCATACACTAGACAACTGATTGTTTTATGATTATGTTGAAGGTTATGGATTGTCCGTTTTCTTGCATCTGAATACAAGTGGCATACGAGTAAATAGTATTCGATATCTTCGAATTTGTGACCACAGAGGCAAGCAGTGCTATCATCGACGTGTCTGAGGAATTTATGGCCTTGTAGGTTCGAGCAGCATAATCTTAGTTTACAGTGGATTATTTGTAATTTCCGTATCCCTGTATAGTAATATGAAGGCACGATGGTATCTAATTTATCTAGTGAATTTCCAAAGATAGCAAGGGATCGAGAGTTTCTAATTTCAACGTTAAGTTTGTACCATTCTCGTATACTGGAAGGGATGAAGGACCCTGAGAAAATTTCGGTTCTGCATCTGGTTTCCTTTAGTTTATCTTTGTTTCTAAGGGTATAATTGATAGGGGTAGAGGACAGTTCTAATAGGTCAGAGAGATATGATGGAACAAGGTTGTTAGTAATTTTGTACATTAATTTTAATTTATGACGTCGACGTCTTTCCGAGAGTGGAACAAAGCCAGTCTCTTTATAGAGTCGCGAAAAGCGTTGTGTGTTAATTTCCTAATTTTTACTTTTCGAGTTGCATTTTGGCTTGGTATGCGTGTTGGTGCCTTCTTACTGACATCAATAAATACAAAAATATGACTATGTCGAAAGTTGACAAGACGGTATACAAGCCGAAATGCAAGTCGAAAATAAGAAATTAGGAAAAAACGAGGGGCGCTATTATCGCTGTGTTTTATTTCTTAATTTCCTATTTTCGAGTTGATTTTGGCTTGTATACCGTCTTGTCGACTCACATTTTGTCGTAACTTCTACTTTTCGACTTTTCGACTTTCGCGTTGTGAAGAGGCGAACAGTAGGAATTATGAAAGGTAGTTATAGGCTTCCATATATAACACTACAGGTTAAATGGTTCCTACAACTTTATTGTTAAGCTTGATAGGCTTCGAAGGTTCCTCGTTCTCAATAAATAATAGCTACTTGGAATACTTGGGTGAGCTCTGACCAGTCTCGCTCAACATCCTCTTTTATACCCCCTAAGTTCTGCAAGATCACCCTTGACGTTAATTTCCATCCCAAATATGGAATAAACCTCTTCATTTCTCAATACCAGGGGAACATTACCTTATTTGGCCTACCAACCATATTTCAATAAACAGACAGAATTTGATGGATATTTTGACAATGGTTAAGATTTTACCAAAATGTCACTGTTGTTTTTATATATATAAATATATCATTCACGTTCATTAAGTACGTGTGATTTGACTCTATAGAAAGAGTGAAGGAACAATTTTTCAAAGACCCAATCTTGTCTTAAGGGTCAAACTGTTACATGAGTAACCAGGCGTCCCGGGACTGATCCCGGATTTGGCCGAGAATGTTCCTCGAGCTATATCATTTTCGGAAGACTTTGATTTGGTTTGTGGAATGATATAGCTGGCAATTCTTTGTCCACAGATAAAAACAGTTTTCAGATTAAACCGAGAAAAGACAAAATATAGTAAAACAACCCACCTTAACGCTTAGAGCTTGTCCGATCACAACCGAAATTAACAATAAATGATTGTGTTTATTCGTTTTCATTACAAGAAATTTACATTTTATTTCATTTGTAATCTGTAGCAAGTTCCACCACCCTGCCTACAACTACAACAGCAACTCCTACAGCTCCAATTACCACAACAACTCCTACAACTACAATTACCACAACAACTCCTACAACTACAATTACCACAACAACTCCGACAACTACAATTACCACAACAACTCCGACAACTACAATTACCACAAAAACTCCTACAACTACAATTACCACAACAACTCCTACAACTGCAATTACCACAACAACTCCTACAACTACAATTACCACAACAACGCCTACAACTACAGTTGACCCAGATGGATTTTTAGATTTAACTTTGTCTGGTATTAAAGTACGACTCATACCAACATCAAAGATTCAGAGTCTAGCAGTGGCCGACTGTTTAATATTTTCAGGAAGTAAACTGGCAGTCATCGATTCTGCTCTCAAACAACAAGATGTACAAAATTATTTACAAGGCTTAGGTACGTTTTATCCCTAATCACGCCCACTTTGAATAATGTATTGGTTGCCCAGATGCCAACGTAATACACTCTGTTTAAAACAGAGATCCTATTTCGTTTCTATTTTTTATAGTTTAAAATTATTTGTTTTACTTATCTTTACTACACTAGGATCTGGAAGAGTTGTTATATTACCAGCGTTTTGGTTGAAGTGAGGGATAAGCCAATGAAATAGTCTGTAACGGCGACTTCTTGGTGTGCCATGCACGGAACTGTGGGTAAACCACTAGAAACGCCAACGCTGATTGATTAATGAATGTCTGGCGTCAAAGGGTCAAAAGACGTTCGTACGACCCCTGACACGACCTTCCGAGTACAATTTGTCAGATCTTCATGTAGTGTAGGCCATCGAAAGTATAAAAAACGAAACTAAATATAGATCTGTATTTTAACCAGATTGGACGTAATAATAATAATATGATATCAGTTATTACCCAGATCCTGACGTAATAATATTATATTGGGTATATTACTACCCAGACCCCGACGTAATAATATGATATCAGTTATTGCCCAGATCCCGACGTAACAATATGATTGGTTATGACCCAGTTCCCGAATAAATTAAGTTATTGTAAAAACAAAATCTCCGCCCAGGTTGTTGAGTCTAGGTTAAGAACCAAGTTCCAACCATATCGGCTGTCTAAAACGAAAAGAAGCAGATAAATTAGCAAATAATTACTTTAAGCTTTACATATAATTTTGATGATTGTTCTATAAATCTGGCAAGCAATCTGTAAAATTGGTAAACCAATTGTGTGATTGACAGAATTATTTTCTTGGTCACGCTTTGATAGTAATATATTTTCCCAGTCGCTTGTCCTTGCCAGGCTTTCTGAAAATTGGAAATCTCGAGGAACTTTCTCGGTCAAAACCGGGATTAGATCCGGGACCCCTGGTTAATCAGCCAGCTCCATAATCAAGATTGTGGCACAGTGTTATTTCTGGATTGAGGATGGGGTCATCAAGGAGAACATATTTACACCATCTTATCTAAGTTCTAACAGATTGTTAAAATATAACGGATCATTGGTATTTCCTCGTGTTATCCGCCCCTTATCCGCCCCTTCTGGAACCTATCTAAGTCCTAGCAGATTGTTAAAATATAATGGATCATTGGTATTTCCTCGTTATATCCGCCCCCCCCCCCCTGGAACCTATCTAAGGTCTAACAATTGGTTACAATATAACGGATCATTGGTATTTTCTCGTTATATCCGTCCCCCTCTGGAACCTATAAATTCTGCTGCCAAGACAAGGTTTAAGGTACCTTTTAACCACTCCTACTTTGAATAATGTATTGGTTGTCACCCAGAACCTGAAATATAACGGATCTTTGGTATTGTCCTCGTTATATCCATATACATCTGCTTTTGAAATGAACACCGCTGCAATAGACATGTATCTGTAAACATCCCCCACACTATCATCCCTTCCCCAATCTCATCACACCACAAGTTCTCCTAGTGTCGACGCATTTGTTGTAAAACGCAACCATTTTCTTTGTAATTGGCAGGTGTAAGCACGGCTTATATTGGTGCAACAAAATCGGTGGTTACCTGGATATGGACGGATCTCAGTGATGTAGGATATACAAACTGGCAATCTTCATCAGGATTCTTAAAGAACTGTGCCATCATGGACAGCAGCAGCAGCTACAAATGGGTGGCAGTGTTATGCACGGAAAGTCATCCTTATTTATGTCAAAAGTGGTAACGTAAGGCAGTATTGACAAAAGCATGCAGACAATTATCCAGTGAAACATGCAGACAACTATCCAATGAAACATGTAGACAATTATCCAGTGAAACATGCAGACAATTATCCAATGATAATTTCAGTAGCGTTTGTTAGGGGGTCGGACAGATCAGTCCCGGGCTGTAATTCAGTTCACTGCTTTGAAAAAAAAATCTGACCCAATTGTATTTTCCCACGAAAGCACAAATGCTAGGTTACCACTTTCATGATTCGGGCTACAATCGACATCGTGGTTTCATTCGTGGAGTAATCGTGGTGATCCTATTAGGACCTGTCATATCTTTAGGTCAGTCCTGGTAATCTTGTTTTTCGTAGAAACGTTTTTGAAATGAAATGAAATTGGGTTTAACGTCCTACTGTTCTGCTCCGAAATGGGCTAATGAAGGCGGGCATACGCCATACAGTGTGCTATGAGGGAAATTTTGCCAGGGCAGCGGCACTATCGCCTACTCTTATATCGAATTCCATCTGCCAAGGGATCTTTTATGTGCATTCCAATGTATACACGGGACCTCGGTTTTTCGTAGCAATGATCTCTGTGTTAAAATTATATTTGGAATGTGTTTAACCAGCTCTATCACATATGCGTGATAATGACTGGCACCAATATTGTCCTTTAAGCTATACTTACAGACCACATACAATAACCATATAAAAGTGGTATATACATAAAGTCAGTATTTACTATGTACACTTTACAACAATTTACTTCAAAGTCATTCATATATATTCACTCAAAGTCGCAAATATAGAATTTTCCTTAATAAACGAGTTATCCAAATTATCCAAAACACTCTAAATCTTACACTACTCCAGTGACGTCACACTGAACAAATGTTTATTAGGAATGTTTACTCTTCAACTACTTATACAAGGACGATGGATACTCACTAACGCAAATGCAAATACCGATGCAGGTTGTGATATGATAAATAGTCATGGACACTGGCCCAGATCCACTGGGCTGCACATGCGACACGCAATAGCGCCATACACGTGGGAGGGGTTCATTGTCAAATTTGACAATTCAAGGAAGTGTTGATGAAAACTGCCGCGTATTCTTGAAATAAAATTAAGCTATATGTTAGTCCCGAAATGACACAGTTTCTGTCGAGTGGACGTTACACCCCATTTCTCTCTCTTTTACAACTGAGGGGCGTTAGCCCCGAAGATTTTCTTTCTATTTACATAATGGATACTCTGAAGGGCCCTCACATACAGTGAGGGTGGGGCGGGGTATGCCATGGCGCAACCCTTCTTATGAAGCGGCATACAATCTATTATTTATTCAAAAGGGGTCCCGTGGACTAGCCTAGGCTAAGATAGCAATTCACCGGCTTTCGTTGCCTCAAAACCTGAGTAAACCAGCAAAAAATGTCAGCAAATGGAGAAGGTAGAATTATGATTTTTCCAAGACATATTATAGCGTTTTATAAACACAAATAAACACAAATAAGTTGATTTAATAAATAGTTATTTAGTTAACAGTATTAAAAAGGAATTGTATTTAAAATGTTTTTTTAATCATAAAAAGTCAACTGAGTGCAGGCACTGAACAAAGCAGTTACAGTATGCAGGGGTGGGGGTGACACTTTTGCCATGGGGCGCCACATAAACTTGTGAGGGCCCTGAGAGTCTATCTTAAACGGGGTTTGGATGGCCGAATGGTTAGCACGTGCGCGCTGTATCATAAGGTCTGTCATTGAGTCAACTGCCGTGGTTTCAGTTCCCCGGTTGTACGTGGGTTGTCTCCGGGTCCTCCGGTTTCCTCTCACTACTAAAGACCACTACGCGGAAGCGAACTATTGAAATTATATTGAACCGTGTGTTAGTCCCGAAATTACCTAGTTTGTGTTGAGTGGACGTTAAACCTCATCTCTCTCTCTCGCTCTCTCTCTCTGTGGAGGACCCCTAGATCTAGAGGCCATAGGTCTGCCAAGCCTATAGGTAAATCCGAGGACCCCTAGATCTTGAGGCCATAGGTCTGCCAAGCCTATAGGTAAATCCGAGGACCCCTAGATCTAGAGGCCATAGGTCCGTCAAGCCTATAGGTAAATCCGACACTAGTTTCCCGTATTAAAGATAGAAGAACTCTCCTTAGATCTGAATACCTTTTCTCGTCTACACTAAAATTGTGCATGGAATATTTCTGCACAGGTTCAGGGTCATCAATAGACCAGTTTGTGCGTGATGTTCACAGGTCCTATAAAAGAAACTTTTAAGCCAGATTTCATTTGATTCCGGGGAGATTACCATCTGAGTTCCTGGACAGCAGCTTGATTCCAGAAAGGAAAAGATGTAGCAATTTCTATCAGCAGACTCGCCCAGCGACTCTGGCTGGATGAGGTTTGAGAGAATGACTTTATTCTGTTATGCATTGTACCATATGTAAGCAGCTATGACATATAAAATGTGAAAACGAACTGTTGCATTGTTATTCCTGGAAAGAAAAACGTTTTAAGAATAACAGTAAGAAGTAAATACACAACGTGAAGGGGACGCAAAGACAATAAGTGAAAATACTAGACGATCACAAGGCTACTAAAATATGTAGTAAGAAAAGATGCATGGGTCGTACGTAGGATGTGGCGACCGGATTTGGATCGGCCGCTCTCCACGTCTGACGAAAGACCCATGGTACTACATAGATTCACATCTGTATAAAACCAAACAGAAAAAATAATATAAATGAAATGAAACTTTCTACTGTTCTGCTCCGACGAGTTCAGAAAAATGTTTATATTTCACTGTGATTTTACGGGAGTAAATTATTTAGTATTTTATAAGGCACTGTGGTATGTCAAGGATGAACTGGTATATACAAGTCCTGTTCTAAGCGGTGGTGATACTGACTTCAGAAAACGTCTAAGTTTAACAGAAGATTAACTAAGTAGAACAGTTGGTTATGATGTAAGTACCATTGTTGGAATACTGTGTGTCCTTATTGGAAATGAAATGGAGTTTAACGTCATACTGTTCTGCTCCGATCTGGGCTAATGAACCTGGGCATACGCCATACAGTGTGCTATGAGGGAAATGTTGCCCAGACAGCGGCGCTACAACCTACTCTTATATCGAATTCCAACTGTCAATGGCCTGAGAAATTCATATTGTTTCGATCTATAAAAGCATTTTCTCTCGTTCAAGTCCGTGTTTATGTCAATTTGCACGACTGTCATTGTTAAACCGTTCACTACTTCAAAGCTATAATAATAGATAATGTTAATTATATTGACGATTTTATGTGATTGTATAAGTGTAATACAGGCCTGTTGAAACTGAAGGGTAGAAGAGCGGTGTAATCATCACAGGTGCGTTGGTGTGGGTGTGTGTGTTAACATTATAACATTGACCAATTTATAGATAAATACGTTTCTCCTCGGTCATACAGGATTATAGATTCTCTAATCTCATTATTGGCTGAGAACATGGCATCGCGTTTCAGTTTGGGCGTGGAAAATCTCACTGGTCGAACTATTAATATTAGACGCGCTGTTGTTTCCTTCATAAAGTCATAATCTCAGCGCAGAGACACCTCGTAAAGTTTTAAACTGTTTAATTATTACTAGAAAAGGATTATGTTTATTAAAGAATATTGCGTGTTCATATTTTTTGTTTTCGTACCCAAAACATTTAGTAATGGTATTTCGAATTTATCTTTAAGTAAAAATTTATGTAAAGTCACTGGGTCTGCTGTGGATAATACTATTTTGATCCGTACTTGGTTCAGTCGTAGTTTTTTAAATTGTGTTATAGAATGTTCAAAAGAGACAATGTGCCAGTCTTTATTTTTTGATAAATCAACAAAAATGTGTTATTGGAATAACAACATTCCTGTTACAATAACAACAACAACAACTTGTGGATCTTTACTGTATTTACAGTTACATGCCGTAAGTATCTGAAAAGTGGAATGTAAGAATGCAAGTGCTAGTGTGAGTGCTGGGTTTAGATTTGGTCTGACCCCTTTTTTGATAAATCAACAAAATTGTGTTATTGGAATAACAACATTCATGTTACTGTAACAACAGCAACAACTTGTGGATCTTTACTGTACTTACAGTTACATACCGTAAGTATCTAAAAGTTAAATGTAAGAATGCAAGAGGTAATGTCAGTGCCGGGTTTAGATTCGGTGTGACCCTTTGTTAAAAATTAGAAATTTCAAAAGCAACTTACTTTCTTTTTTAAATTTGAAAATCTAAAATTGTATGAGATATCGCAGATGGTAAGACGTTATACTATCTGTTTCGTTGGGTAATTTCATCTCGAAAGCCCCTATTATAAAAACAATTATGTAATAGCAAGTACAGAAATTTTCTTCTTTTTTTAAATTTGAAAGTCTAAAATTGTTTGATGCATCTGCAAATGGTAAGACATTATGCTGTCTGTTTCTTTGGGTAATTTCATCTCGAAAACCCCTATTATTCTAGAGAAGTTTATTTTATGTTGACTAAAACATTTTATTTAATAGCAAATACAGAAATTTTCTTTTTTTTTAAATTTGAAAGTCTAAAATTGTTTGATGCAGATGGTAAGACATTATGCTGTCTGTTTCTTTGGGTAATTTCATCTCGAAAACCCCTATTTATATATTTAAGAAGATTTGTTTTCCTTGAAATTCATCAAGAGGTTTAAGTCCATATTTTAAGGTAATAACATCCGAAGTACCCCATTAAAATATCATGAAATGATTGAATAAATACATAAATTGAAACGATCAAGGTATATGGTAGTTTTATGTTTGTTTTCTTTCCAGGAAACCAGACCAACATCCTTCTGTTGTTTGTCTTTTGACCCTACAGCTACACCAGAACCCACAACAGCACCTTCTACTTCGGGTAAGTCAACATTAAGACAGTTCAAATCCCAAATCATACAAATAATAAATAACCCTAACCGATTGGATAATAACGGCCATGAGGCTATTGGGGGGTGGTTAGGCACAAACCAACCCGTTTTTGATCACCAATGGATGCTTCCGCTTCCGCAAAAAGAAACATGCATCCCCACACTGTCCGAGAAGACTTATCTTACGATATCTAAGAACAATCAGGGGGAAAGTGAAAGAAAGTAAAAATAAATGGATATATAACATTATTAAGGACATTACGAGTTATTTTCAGTCTTAACTGAAGTCAGGGGCGTGCTTAGGGATTTGAGCAGATTCCAAGATGGAGATCACCCGAGAATTCTTATACAATCAGAGGCTCCGGGAAAAGATTTCTAGTCATTTAGATTCGTACGTATGTATAGGATTAGAGTCGAGTGAGACCAAAACGGTGGCAATGCTTCGAACGTCTGTTTTTTGGGGTTGTTTTTGACGTTATGTCGATGATGAAAAGAATGTACTCTGCGGGGACGGGTCCAGACCCCCGCCTGCAACTAGACACATGCAAATGACAATGCAAGTGACAATACTGTTGATAGCTACAGAAATGAGATAAAGTTTCTTAATTTGCATCACCAACCGGGATAATTGAGACGGGAATACGCGATACCGTGTGATATCTAGTACATGAGTTTATCTCGGTTTTTCATCCGATCCGAACAACTAGACACATTTACTTGCCCTGCCCTGTCACATCTGTACATTTTTTGTTACTTATTAATTACAACCATTTATATTAATATCTGATTGGTAAACACTGTCATAGAAAGCGATGTGTTTTGGTTCAGACTAAATCATTAAGGATTTCTTTTGAAGTTTCCGATCCTCGTAAAAGCTAATAGCTGAAATGTGAAAGTAATATTTGTATGAATATTTATCTTTGACCCACTGACCTCATTATTGGATACCAGTAACCAATGATCAATTCCAAGAATGTCGTAGGTCAAATACTCTTTTTGCGAGGTGGGATCCACGGTGGCTAAGTGGGTAGGACGCTGGCTCGCTAGCCTGGAGGTCGCGTGTTCTATCCCTGCATTGGCCGAGAAAGTTCATCAGAATTTCCCGACATGGCTTCCCCTTGTCACTGGTGCAGGAAGGAGGGCCTGGCAAGAACAACTGTCTAGTCGTTCGGATGGGACGATACCCCGAGATCCCGTGTATAATTGGCGTGCACGTAAAAGATCCCTTGGCAGCTGGAATTCGATATAAGAGTAGGAAATAGTGCCGCTGTGCGGGCAAATTTCCCTCATAGTACACTGTATGGCGCATGCCCGTCTTCATTAGGCCAGTCGGAGTAGAACAGTAGGATGTTAAACCCCATTTCATTTCATTTCTTGCGAGGTGTTGGTTTGTTTAGTGGAATGATATAGCTGACATTTTTTCGTCTACAGATAAAAACAGTTTTCAGATTAAATCGAGTAAGACAAAACATCTGATGTAAAAATGGCCTCCTTGATGACTTCATCTTCAACCCAGAAATATCGCTGTTCCACGATCTTGATTATGGTTGATTAACCAGGGGTCCCGGGTCTGA